CATGCAAAGTGGAATCAAAATGGGAAGCATTACTTCAGTATTCAATGTTATACCCAAATTCCAACAAAATTTGTGCCACTGTACTAGAAATGAAACAGGGAACAGAAACCATAAAAGCTACACTAAAAATATAATTCCTTTTTCTTTACTGTGCCCTGCACAATGGAAATTTATCCTGTATTTGAAGTGCTCTGATGATTTGTGTGTTAATCCCTATTTTAAACTCCCAGCCTGTTTGTCCTACATTTACTTACTACAGAAAAATACCCAATGCTAGCAGTATCTCATTAATACATATCTCAACTTTACTAGTAGTTGCAAAATTAATTTTCTTAGCATTAGTCTTCTTGGCCATTAAAACTGTGTGCAAGTACATGGAATACTTTCTAGGTAAACTGTCAGAAATTAATGGCATATTCCTCTCTCAGGTAAAAGTTGCATATTCGTTCTGAGAATCTTTTTCGGGCTGTCAAACACTGTGGATATGATTTTCAAGTTGGGTTATGTTACAAAACTTTATGAACCTCTAATTTTCAAAACAGTAAGCAGATAATTAATGGTACATGCAGGTTTGATGAGTAGTTCTCAACCATCAAATTTTGTAGAAATAAATTCTCTTCATAATTTGGAAAAAAAAAAGGATAACACTGCTTAGAGAAAAGGCTGGAAGTGGCTGAAGTGACAAGACTTGTTTTATTGAACTGTAGGTAATGAAAGCTAATAAAACAGTAAGCAGACTACCGTATGCTTATGACTCCTGAGCTGTACCAAGAAGTTCCACCAAAAAGTCTAAAAGTGTCAGCACACTTTAGAAACAGTGTCACAGAACAGTATTTGTATTAGATAAGATTTGTTCTCTTTTCGCATCATCAATACTGAGGATAACTACAGGAGAAATTCAGTACATTTAAAGATCTAAGTTAACTACCTCCAGATGCAAATCTCTATCTATATCTACAAATCTCCTGCTTAAACACATGGTTGCCTGAATTTGAAGTGAAAGTGTTTCAGGACTAAACCAAAAACTCCACCTATGCCTAGACTAAAACCCCTCAGGGTACTGAATTAATACATGTCACTTTAATATAAGAAAGGGTACACAGTTCAGCAGACCAAGGAGAAGTTGTAGAAGGAAAGAAACAGGAAAACCCAAAGATAGATGCAAACAAAATGCCTCCTAATTCTACTTTCAGCAATATGAGGGAAAGCTGATAAAGAAAAGTCAGAATTCTAGATTCACATTGGGCCATCTTAGATGCTAACATAGAACAATAAAATTTCTGAGTGTTCTCCTCTTTC